CGCGGGGGCTCTGCCGCCGCAGGATAATTTGAACAGTGCATAATTTATGTGACACTTCCTGTTTGTAAATCACTTTGCAATTTCTTTGTCACCCTTAGTATACCATGAGGTAAAGTGTTATCACTATCCTCATTTTGTGGATGAGGAAGTTCAAGTATGGAGAAGACACAGTGCCCAGAGTCACAAATCATTTCAGTGCAGGGCTGAAATGAAATTGAGAGTAACCGCGTTATACAAGGGTAGCTTAATTACCGAGTTACTCTGGCTTCAGTGCTTACACTTATGATTAGATTGAGATGGCACTCAGGGAGAAAAAAAAAAAAGAAAGAAAAAGAAAAAAAAAAAATCTCAAAGTAGGAATCTTTAAGCTGTGCCACTCCTGTCATGAAGCTCTGGCATCGAGCTTGGTCGATGGCCTCTGCTATCTTTGGGGGCTCAGAGTCCTGTGCCCTGCTGCCGTGAACACAGGGTCAATTCCAGGAAGACCAGTAGGTCCTGTGACCAGGGACTGTCTTCCTAGCCTCAGCTTCCAACCGGAGGTGACCATGGACCCGGAAGTGTTGGGGCTATGACCACGACAATGCCTCAGGGCGGTGGGATTATGGTCAATATTTTTGTCTTTTTTTTTTTTTTTAGCATTTTTAAAATTTTCTACAATAAACGTGTATTATTTTGGGGAGAAAAAAATCCAATAGCCAATAATAACATAGTCTGAAAAATAACCGTAACGTTTAAGAAACATTTTGCACCATGGCAGTATCAATGGAAGGAGGGCAAACACAGCCCATCGCGCTGACTGCTCTGAGAGACGCCAGAATCTCTGTGTCCATCAACTCAGGTGGGCTCGTTTAAAGATCTGTCAACCCTTACTCTATCACATACCAGCTGGGAGACAGCACAGATGCCCACCTGGCTGGTATGCACCAAATATTTTTATCTGTGGTGAAATAATCTCTCAGTATAACTCATCATATTTCCCTGGGAAGGGCTGAATATGTCCACTGTGATGGCTGGTCCCTGGAGCAGAGGGAACATTTTCCGAGAATCGGCTTCGCTCTAGCCGTAAGAATCAACCGAGCATCCCACACAAACTACACCAAAGATGACCAGAGTGTATTTCTTCCACTCCTCCCCAGGTACTTGAAAAGTAGTTAATAAATGCTCTCACAATAACCTGGGTGAAAGTGTCTGTTCTAGATGTGTCTGGGTGATGTCCCTGATTTCCTCATTCTGAATCTGACTCAGGCGAGTGGCTTCGAAGACCAAAGCAGCTCATCTTCCCACTCAGGGGTGCTTTTCTTTCACGCCTCTACGACTATGGATAAATATTAAGACCTAGGGCCCAGTCTCAGAGTCTTAGAATCGACTTCTTCCCTTATCCCCAACAAGAAAATCTGCCAGAATGGCACCAGGGCCCAGAGTGCTGCATACAGACACATGGTCTAGGAAGGCTTTGTCTTGATTTGGTGGAGTTGTCGAGTCTTTGTGATCCCTGAAGTTGAAAGAGCAGAGCTGTTGAAAGGCTGGGGCTTGTAGGAGGGTTGAAGCTGGAATAGGCACGTTTTAAAATATTTTATGTTTTGATGCCAGGGAGCTACGGACCTCCTCATAAAACCTGCAGCCATAAGAGACAAGGAAGGGGGCTGCGTGGAGTGTATGAGTCTCTCAAGAGATGAACTATTTTAATTGACCGAAGCTGATGCAGAAGGAAAGTAGAAGTGAGTAGAGAGAGGAGAAGGAAATCTAAGAAACCATAACTCCCAAAACGGGGAGAGGAAGAAATAGGACCTCTCTCTAGGCAGACACCCCATTTTCCTGAATCTCCAATCTCATTGGACGAGGAAGGAAATAAAAGCGGAAGTGGCCCCCATGCTCAAGGCTGATGTGCACAGAGCTCAGAACACATACATGGTCATAGACCTTGCACCCCTATCTGTAAGAAATTTGAACTTGACCTGGGGTGGGGCGGGGGGCTTCAGGGACGTTGCTGACCCTCAATCCCTCAGCAGGTTTGGTTCTCCTTTGATCTGGAGTTAGCAGAGTCTGACTTAACATGTCTACGGTCAAGATCCCCCCTTCCTTCTCCTCTCTCCCGGGAAGTTCTCCCACTGGCCAGGACTTGCCATCTGTACAGGGCTTCCAGGTGGCCGAATGCCTGGGCATCTTCTGGGCCCCAAGCAAGACCAGATCCCAGAGTGTGTGTACCTGTACCCGTCCAGCCCCACTAACAAGAAAACGCAGCAGCTCAAAGCTCTGGCCCTGCTGACGGTGACCCGAGCTCGGACGGTTTACTTCTTCCCCAGGAGACCTCGTTACATTTCGGGGAGGTTTTAAAGGGATGCAGTAAGCTGTGTTAATGGTCCATCATAAAGATTAGTAGTTGGAGAGAGAGAGTGGATGATCTATTTACGGCAAGCGAGGCATAAAAAAAGAGTGTACATCATGATAGGTCTGTGAGGCGGTATCCCCAGACACGGTTACGAAAGAAAAGTCTAAATGATTGATGGTGTTTTGCCCCATTTACAACTCTTGCCCTATGTTCCCGCAACTGGAGAACAGCTGGAATTTGAGTCTGGTCACAGACAAGCCCTCTGCCCCAAACGGACACTCGCAGACACCTGCCTCTCTCTGCTCGGCAGAGTCCACTCAAGACACTTGGAAGAAGATACAAGGCCTCTCAATCTGAGATACTTCTCCTCACTTTTCCTCAAGCCCACGTATGCCCTTCCCCTTACGAGGGAAATCTAACTTTTCAAAGAAAAATTTTAAACAATTCCCTGTACAATTGAAACAGTGGGTTTTCCTGAAAATCATTTCCCTTCTTATAGAATAAATCCTTTGTTTTAGAAATAGTCCTCAGAAGCTCAGTCGGATGCTAACAGCCTTTCCTGTACACGCCTCCCCCCTCACCTCCCAGCACACCCAGGCGCAGGGCACTCACGCGCGGAACACGGCCACACCTGCGTCCAGGTGCGTGTTGACATGAGCATACACGAAACGCACCAGAGAGATACACGCATACAGAGATCCACATTCGGGTCCACTCGTGCACACCAGACGTCCCGCCCGGACAGGAATCACACGCGCACACGCGCACACGCACGTGTGCGTGCGCAAGAGCCGATGGGCAGACAGGCAGGACTCGTAGCCCGGCGGGTGGAGCGGGAGGAAAGGGAGAGGCCGGTGGGGGGAGACGGAGCGGCTCGTGGGTGGGGAGAAGGAGGCTGCTGAGTGGTTGGCGAAGTTCCCAAAGCACATCTGTTTCTGAAGCAGCTGCACCCTCGGCTACATGGCTGACCCCCTGATGTACGGACCGGGGACTCTCTCCTCGCCTCTCCAGGGCTGCTCGGCCTCGGCAGGGTCACTGAGGTGACTGTCAGCTGCTGGCCCCAGATTCCTGCCCCTACAGCTTTCACAATGCTCTGGCTGACGCGGGAGGTCGCCATCCCCTGCAGTGCCCGTCTGCTCAAGCGAGCCTGAGACTCTGGGCTGTTTGGGTGCTAGCCACCACGACGGCTACTTTGGGATTCATGGCCTTGAATATCAAGAGAAAAGGGAAGAAGATGAAAAGAGTCAAGAGTTCTCCGTTAATTTACACAATATCATACAAACTTGAGTGCATGGGACATGGAGGTGCTCTCTCTGCACGTGACCCACTGTACAGAAGTCGCCCCTGGGGAAGGGGTGGATGTCCAGTGACGAAGGACCGCGTCCGGGGTGGGGAGGGAAAGGTCTCGCCGGGCGCGCGCGCTCGCGCAGCGGCGGCCACGCAGGCCGCGTTCCTCCTCCCTCCTGGACCGCGCGCCCCCTCTTCGCGCGTGGCTTTTGTGCCCAGCTGTGTCTTGAGCTTCCAAAATTAGAGGACCGAGCGGGGTGGCGTGCAGAACCACGGGATCCTCTGCCCCGTGGCCTCGTTCTCGGCTCTGCCCTCTGGGAATTTCAGCTGCACTAAAAATAACAGGAAAAAATGCAACACAAACGATCAAACCTCACACTCGGAAAACAGCCACCGCACGCACACACTCCGGGGATCAGAGGCTGCAGAACCGGCACCCGCGTGGGCCTGCCCCTCGTTACGCTTCCTGGGTCTCGGGGCCTCTGTGCTGGGCCATGAAACCACCACCGAGGAGAGAGAGACGACAGTCATACGCGGTGTTTCCATTTTAAAACGGTGAGAGAGAGAGAGGAAACCACCCGGAGTAGGTACCCGCGCACACACGCACACATCACAGCGGCGCTCCAAGGCTCCGACCTGCCCGAGGAGCGCGGGCGGGGCTGGGGCAGGGCGGCCTCTTGGAACTGGGCGTAAGGCAGCTGGACGGTAAGACCGGGTTTTCTGAGCATCCGCCGCAGTGTCCTTTAATTGATGCGGATCTTGCCTCTCAGCATGTTGTTCTCTCCCGCTTCCCACCTGTCCCGCTGAAACTTTGTCTGAAAGTTTGGCAGCCAAGAGAAAACATCCTTCTCGGTTTCTCGTCCACCTCTCGTGTGTGGCTGGTGGGCCAGGAAGGAAAGCAGAACGGGCAGAGCAGCCGGAGGACACAGGTTCTGCCAACGGCCTCGGAGACGTGGTGACGCTCTACGCACTCAGGGCTTCTCTTCTCGGGGATGTGATCGGTGTCGGGGTGGCGTCCGCTCCTCTTGGCCCAGCGGATGGCACATCCTTCCCTGTATCTGTGCCGCTCCAGGCCACTGGCACTGTCCCTTCCCAGGCCACCACCCCGTCCTCGCCAGTGACGGGAATCAGGATGCTATCGCGAGTGGTGATGTTCGTTCTGTCTTCGAGAAACCATGGAGCCAGGAGTCAGGGAGTGATGGAAGAGCCACGTGACAGGAACGGCGTCCCCAGCTCGGTGACGAGGCAGCTCAAAGTCCCACACGACGCGGTGCCCGAGCCCACTCCACTCCGCCTCGGCACTGGCATCGCCTCGACTGAGTTTTCTTTTATATATGTATATTATATATATATTTATATATATATATATATGTGTGTGTGTGTGTGTGTGTGTGTGTGTGTGTGTGGTATGGTGTTTGTTTTTTAGCACACTGTCCCATTCTCGGGTCTGGATTTAGGGCAGTTGGTCCTCGGGACAGGTTGGACAGAAGGGGCCAAGGTACAGAAGAACCCCGAGATGAGTGTGAGTCCCAGGCCCCCCCACGCACAGAACATGGACCATCCATAGCCATGGCTGATGTCATCGGGGAGTCCATACAGGTAGCGCGGGTAGCGTGACAGCTCGAAGTTGATTCCGGCCACACAGGTGCACAGTGAAATGATGCAGAAGGTTCCTGAAGGGCGGGCAAGGGAAGACACAGAGGGTGAGGGCAACGGAGAAGGAAGGGGAAGAGGAGAGGGAGAGAGAAAGAGAGAGGTCAGGTTTATTACGGTTTCAATGTTCTCGAGTGAGAAGAAAAGATCCGAGTGAGGGCAACCTGCCAGCGAGATCGGTGTCTGGAAACGTTCACGGAGAGGGGGGCGGCATCGAGGGATCGGGCTCCCTCGCCCTCCAATAACTGCCCCAGCTTGGACAAACTCGGGACGTCTCTCTTTTGGGGAAATACTGAATAAATATCATGGTAGAGCTCCATGTAGGGCGTACTGAGGCAAAGAACATTCTGTTCATCTTTCTAAAGCATTTAAAAGTTCATTGTCTTTCTTTGGAGACACAGAAAATACCCCATTTGCTACTTCTTTAAAGAGAAAAAAAAAGTCTTTATTCTCTCCTTTCCTATATATAATGTCTTATTACAATACTGGGTTTTCCTTTAATCCATTAGGAACCAACCGGCCATCTGAATCCTGGAGGTCCTTTCCCGTTTCTCACAGGGCAGCACTTCCCAAAGTGCTCTCCACGGCACCCTCCCCCCGGACATCACTCCTTCGTCAAGTGGAAGCGGAATCAAACGCCTCTGGCAAAATCTGCATGTGACTCCCCCGCGGACATTCGGACATTCGTAATCCACAGTCTGCTTAAATTAACTCGTCTAACCTAGTCTGCTGAGGCACTTCTCAAACTTATTTAATGTTGGGATCGCCTCTTAAATATGCCTCATGTTAACCTCCAATGAGAAGGCTGCTGTAGGAGACAGAATGTTCTAAAATGGTATAGAATTATAAACCTATCGTCAACCAACGGAGATATCTGGTGGACCCAAAATGAGTTCAAGAGCTTCTCGAGGTTTGCTGTGCCTTCTGTTTCTTCTGCCACTGCTGACATGAGAGGAATGGCCTGAAGAAGTACACACAGTTTGGGAAGGCTGGGAAAGGGAGCGGCAGATTTTTTTAGGTGGTGAGAACAAGAGGACTTGCGCTACGTTAATATTTAAGAGCTCCTGCTTCCTGGTGGCCACGTTTCTGTAAGATCCAGCTTTATTTCTTCCAGATGTCAGGCCTGTGAGCTTTGGGTCATTTACATGGCCACGGTGGCAGCAGTCATAACTGACATTCATAAAGTGTTGCGTGCTGGGAACTGTGCTAAGTGCTTAATAGGTACTGAACCTTTAATTCCCAAAACAAACCTATGAGGGAGGTTCTATTATTATTCCCATTGTAGCAATTGAGGAAATTGAGGCCCAGAGAGGTTAGGCCAGCTGCCTAGGATCACACAGCTAGCAAGTGGCAGCCAGGGCTACGACCTCAGGCAGGCTAGTCCTGGAGTTTGCAGTCTTATCCTCTGGGCCGTTTAAGGTTGGTGTCATGCAAGGTGAGTCCTTTCATGGGTGCCCCTGTTGTGCACCTGGGTTCAAGGTGAATCCTGAGTCTGGGGGAGGGTGGTCTGGAGTCCTGGAGGGCTTGTTAAAGCTGACTGCTGGGCTCCGGGGTTTCTGCTTCAGTTGGTCTTGGGTGGGGGGTGGGCTGAGAATCCATATTTTTAACAAGTTCTTGGGTGATCCAGTGACCACGCTTTGAAAGCTCTGGGTTAGGGAAACGGTTTCATTGGACAAAGATGAAACTTAATAGTCCAAAGTTCATGTTACAGAGGAAGAAATACAAACAAATGGTCGATAAATGGGAAAAATGCTCAATTTTACCAATAACCAAAGAATTGAACACTAAAAGCATAGTAACAGAGACACGGATCCAGGTGTAGGAGGAAGTGCTGGGGAGCCAGAGGGGAGGAGGCAGCCTGTGGGGTGCGGCCACCAGCAAGCAAGGGCCTGGGTGTGCGAGCTCTAAAGAAAGCTTCCTGTTGACACTGGTTTCAAATAATTCAAATTTTAACAAACCAGAGCTGGCCTCCTTGTGCCTCGAGTGAGGCCTGCAATGTCTGGTTTGGAAACCTGGGTACGCAATGATATCACTTACTAAAATTTAGATTTAGGTCAGAGAGAGGGTATGTGTGTGTCTGCGTGTGCATGCGTGTGCACGTGTGCTGCGTTCAGATTTGAGCTGCCCGCGAGCTGCTAAGGCTCTTGGAACCACGGATCTTGAGCCTGGTAGAAAGTTCTGAGCTACAGATGTGATCTGAGCCACCGTCTTATAAATCGAAGCTCTGGATGGAACCAAGGTCACCCAAGGACTCTAATAGGATATCTTAAAAAATGGAGACATTTCTTCTCATCGAAAGGTGTGCTATATTCCTGGTTAAGACCAGTGATCGGTTCTGGGAGAGAAGGTCGCCCTCAAGGAAGTTTTGATCTTCCCAAGTTGCCAGTATCTGGAAAAGCTTGACACGCACTATCTTAATGGGGCAATCCGCAGGCAGGGCGAACAGACACACAGGATGTGGTTGATAAACCAGGAGCGAGGAGATTAGGTCCGTGTGGACCTAATTACCAACTGGAAATGGCCTGATCTGTTGGTAACATACATCTTGTTGCTACGTTATGTTAATACAGTTAATTGGGGGAAACTTCTTGCCTTAACTTCCTGTCAGTTTCTTTTAAAATTTCTTTTGTCCGTTAGCATTTGTCAGTATTTCCAAAGATGGGATAAACACTAGGTTCTCATTTAAGACGGCCTGCTAAGCGGGCCATCTATGCAACTTGCTAGGAAGTTCTCCGTCACGAAGCGGGAAGGGCTGGAACACGTTCTGTTAGTTTTCACACACGCTACTCCTTGCCGTTGTGAGCAAGAATTTCTATTTTTATGAACTTCTGCACTTACAGATTCCGATTTGAAAACGTGCATTAATAATTAGAAGTGAATACACGCAGGCACATGGTAGATCATCAGTAAGTGGACTGAATGAATAATACGCTGTTATTGTTACTTAAACAGCAGATTCTGACAACTGAAATAATGATGCACTCCGACCAACACTGCGGGATAGAGGGAACAGTGGATGGGCGAGGACCCTGCCTGACCCAGTTTTCTGTCCATTGATGAACCCAACTCTCAGACCTGTGGCCTGGTGACTAACTGGGGAGTGCGGAGTGCAGTGGCCTCCTCCCCACTCCCTGCCACCACCCCGCCTCACTGGGATTCTCTGGGAGAACTAACACCGATTTTAAATGCCTCTGCCAGAAAACATATCTCAATTAAAGGGCAGTAAATGTGACGGCACGGGGAACTGCAGCCTCCTTCCCGTCACCGAAAGAACAGTGGTCCTTTGGGCAAGTATGGAGTCCTCTTGCCTCTGGGGCCAGGTCTTTGGACTCTGCCATCTGATTTCTCATGAGCACTTACTGAGAGACCAGTGAGGATCCAAGAAAGGCAAAGTAACGATGCATAGTCACGTCTTAATATGCACCCCGCCCCTCCGCCCTGGCTTGGGGTTTGGGCCTAATTCCAATTAGACTGCAAGACTAATCGCGGTCAGAGTGTATCAATTCAATAAGAAGAACGCTGCCCCAGCCCGTCCCTTCGGAGCGAGGCTCCGCCACGCGCTCCGGCCTGGCTGTGAAAAGCGGCAGGTACCGCTACCCGGGGAAGTTAGGGACCGCAGTGGTGGGGTGCCAGGTCGAGGCGATGCCAGGTCAGTGTGGGGAGGCAGGCTAACCGCGCTGGGGTGCAAAGGGCACATCCCCGTGGCAGTGAGCTCCATGGCTGGCAGAGGGGCCGGTCAGCACAGAGTTGTTGAACTTCCATGTTTGTGCCCAGCATTACGCTAGATGCGAGGGAGATCGATGGCGAAGATAAGATCCCTGCTCTTAAGAATTTTTAATTAAATCTCATATAAAAAGATGAAAAAAAAAAAAAAAAGCTTATTCTCTAGCTGGGGATATGAGACACACATAAATGAAAAGTTGAGGATGAGGTGAAAACAGCACCAGAGTGGCGATTAAGGGACCCAAGTTCAGTAGCAGCTCTGAGCCTTTGGTCTCTCGTCTGTAAAAGCAGGTGACTATAAGGTCCCTCCCACATCTACTAGTCCTTAGGAAAAGGACTTATACTCAGTAGTAAATGGTAAGAGTCAACTCTCTGATAGAGATAGTCGTGCTGGGTCTTGAAGGGTGAATGGAAATTCTGTAGGCGATAAGAGAAAAGGGGTCCTCGCCTGTTCTGGGTGAGCCTCAGTTGCCCCAGGTGCCTACGCCAGGGACGAGGAGGTGTGCCCACAGACCCCCGCTGCACCTCTACCTTGGGAGATGCTCACAGCTGCTGTCCCAGTCAGGCCTCCACCACGTCTCACGTGAAGTACTGTAACGGACAATTGTCCTGCCTTCTCTTCTTGCCCCCATATTGTAGCCAGTGATAGTTTAAAAACTTAATCAGATTATAATCCTCTTTCCTGCTTAAATCCTCCAATAGCTTCCTCTCATACTCAGAATCAAACCCGAACTCCTTACCCTGCCGCTATGGCTTTACGAATGGACCCTGCCTCCCTACCTGACCTTACCTTGACCCCCATTCTTACCTTGACCTCCGCAATGCCTACACTCTACACAGCATTCTGGGTCTCAAACAAGCTAAGCCTGTACCTGCCCCAGGCCCTTTGTATTTGCTGTTCTTGTGCCTGGAATGGCCTCCTTCTAGCTCTTCTCGATCTCGATTCAAATGTCATCCTCACAGAGGAAGCCTCCCTGGCCCCCTTCTGAGCGGTGCCTCCGAGTGGTTTCCAAACCATGTTCCACGGAGGTGTCTCAGGAGCCGCCACTGGGAAAGGGCCTCCTAGCTCTCCTCTCTTTGGCCAGAATAGCCCTGCTTTGAGCTGTTTCCATGTGAAATGTCATCTGAAGAGAGGAGTCTAGTGATTTAAAGATTTTTGAGAAGCACTGGCCTTGTCCATTTGCAAGGGGACCTTGAGGTATGTCGTTATGGGAACTATGCTTTGGACAGCAAAGTCCGATGGCGTCCATTAGTGGCAAGTCTAAGCCTCTGGCAGAAAGGGCTAATCAAT